TGAAGTTTTTCTGCAGTAATTCAGCACTTTTCAAACTGATTCCGAGATTTTCTATCGTTTTTCAGTACTTTCAGAAGAGATTTTGAACTTTTTTTTTATGATTCTGTGATGCCCAAAGTTATTCCGATTTTTCTGAAGTGACTAAATATTTTCTGAAGGGATTCCAAACTTTTCTTAAGTTATTACAAAATGATCTCAGCTCTTGAAGAAGTGATTGCAAACTTGAGAGAATTGATAAAGTACTTTCCGAAGTTTTGTGAAGATGTTCAGTTCTTTCCGGATTTTTTTTTTTTAGTTTTTACGAAAGCGATTACAAACTTTCTGGCAAGATTAAGTATTATCCAAAGGGATTCAGAAATTTTCTTAAGTCACTCAATACTAACCGAAGAATTTCAAAGTTTTTTCTGAAGTGATTAATTATTCAAGTAACATTGTAAGTTTTATTGAGGTTTTAAAGCACTCTACAAGTCTAAATCATGATCTACAGTACCCTCATAAAACCCAAATTGTTACTTGGGTACTTTCAGAATTGATTTAAAACTGTTCAAAAGTGATTCAGTTCTTCCTGAAGCGAATCAGTACTTTCGGAAGTGATTACAAACTATCTGGAATTATTTAGTACTTTTCGGAGTGATTCCAAACAGTTCTGAAGTGATTCAGTACTTTCTGAAATCATTTAGTGCTTTGCGAAGTGATTATGAACATTCTGAAGCGATTTAGTATTTCCGACGTGAGGCTGAACGTTTCTGAAATGATTCTGTGCATTCCTAGCTAATTTAATCATTTTCGAAGTTATTCGGTTCTTGCGGAAATGATTACAAACTTTCTGGGATGATTCAGTACTTTCCAATGTGAATCCGAAATTTTCTGAAGTGATTCAATACTATCCCAAGAGATTCCGAGCTTAAAGTGGTTCAACACTTTCCGAAGTGATTCAGTGCTTTCTGAAATAATTCAGTACTTTCCGAAGTGATCATGAACTTTTCCAAAGTGATTCCGAACATTACTGAAGATATTCGGTGTTTTCCGAAGTGATTCCGAACATTTCTCAAGTGATTCAATTATTTTCAAAGTGAACTTTTCGCAAAGATTCAGTGCTTTCCAAAGTGATTTCGAATATTTATTAAGTGTTTTTGGGTCTTTTCTGAAGTTATTCAGTACTTTGTGAAATGATTCTCAACATTTATGAAGTGATTCAAGACTTTCTGAAGTGATTCAAGACTTTCTGAAGTGATTCCACACTGTTCTAAATCGATACAGTACGTTCAGAAGTGATTTCGAACATTTCTAAAGTGATACAATACATTCCTAAATGATTCAGTAGTTTCCGAATTGATTGAAAACATTTCTGAAGTGATTTAGCACTTCCGAAGTAAGTCCAAACTTTTCTGAAATGATTCAGTACTTTCTGAAGTGATTTCGAACTTTTCATTAGTTATTCAGTGCGCTCTGAAATGATTCAGTACTTTCTGAAGAGATTCCGTATTTTTATGAAGTGATTCAATTATTTCCTTAAGTGATTCAGTAATTTTTAAGTGATTCCGAACTATTCTCAAGTGATTCAGTACTTTCTGAAGTTATGTCGATCTTGTTTATATGATTTCAAACTATTCTCCCATACCTCACCGTGAAAGAATTCCATCACCGTCATGTCAAAATTTCTATCTTACGCCACTAAGTAGCGCCAACTTTTGTCCGCCAATCAGGATTTGCACCGTTAGTGGTTAACCTCAATTAGATGAACTTTTGGACAGTTCAGTGGTATTATTTAACTTTTTTCCCTCGATCATGGACACAGCCCGAGCAAAGTCTGAGATCAAATTGCAATCTAAATTTGATGTTGTGATTTCGCTGATAATGATAACTCAGGTTGCTGTCGTTTTGGTCGTTTTAACGGTTAAAATATCAAAATTGATAGCAAACATATCTTCCTGTGACATCACATTCAAAACTATTTGTGCTATCAGTGAGAGCAAACTGAATACTCAATTTGATATCAATTTTTCATGTTGATAACAAAACAAGTATTCAATTTGATGTTATGCTAAGGCAATGAAGTCAAACCCGCAACAACATATTTTTGTACAGCAAAATGAAAACAAAATTTATCAATTGCATAAACTGAAATCAAATTAGGATTTCAGTTTGATGTTGATATCAAAACTGGATTTCAATATGCTTTCATTTTGATGCTGGACTGATGCTGATGCTATTTTTTTTTTCAAAAAGATATTCTGCATTATTACCTAAAAACCTCTCTCTGCATTGGCGTTGCCATGCGATAAGGTACATCTTTGAAGATATTCTGGATACCACGCAAATATTTGAAAACATCCCAACTGATACTGCAAACACTATCCTTGAATGCATTATGCAAAATATACAGCCCACAGCTTCCCAGATCTATCAGCTTCTCGCCACCTTTTTGTACCTCTTGCTTCAATTCACATTGGGCCCATCCATGGACACTTGCAGCAACTTGTTCGAAGAGATACCGGCAAGGGCGTCCATAAACGCAGCGAGTAGATCTGATGCCCGGGATCTTCCCAAACGTCATGCACTGATAAAATTTCAAAGATTGTTTTATGTGTCCCACACATAATTTTTAGCAATGTGATCAACATTATGTTTTTTTCCCTGACCTACACTAAAATTCCCTGACATTCCCTGACTTTCCAGATCATAAATAGAATTCCCTGACATTCCCTGACTTTCCAGGTTTTTCCAGGTAGTCGACACCCTGTATTAGTGGACATATTGTTTTGTAACCATTTATTGTGTCTGTTTACTTGTTTATTGTTGTGCGCAATTAGAGAGAGGATGAGACAGAATGTGGAAAAGGAATTTATTAGACTAGAAGAGATCTAGACAATCTAACAAAACTTGCTACGAGTGGTGAAATGGGATCGGATGTGCAAGAAGAATCTATTAGACTAAAAGATATCAAAGTATAACAGGGTTAATATTACTTGCAACGTTGCAACAAGTGGTAGGGGGAGAGGTAGCTCATCGATTCTTTCGGTTCGCCTCCTAGCATCGTGCTATAAGGTACCAGGCGATAACCAGGGTAGTTGATCGATAGCTCGATGACGTCATTTCGCTGGCGTCTGCAATAGGAAATTCATATAATAATATTCCGCCCACTATATCACAAGAAATTGCGAGTAGCTGAGTGGAATGGAGATAAGTTAAGCATTGGGTACAGGACCAAGTCTCCCCTGGGTGGTGCCAGAAGATGAGCGCAATAGAATCATCAAGTTGCCATAAGGCACGGAATGAGACTATTGGATGGCTGGGTAGTCAAAGTCTTCCATTCGTTAGTCATTTCAGGTGGATTAGAGCAGGTTTAGGTTTATTGTGGGCGTTGGCCAGATTTGGATTTTTCAGATGTAATCCTGGATAGGACCCTGTCATTGAACGTCGCGTGAAAGTGGAACTTAATGAAGGCCTAAGTACTTTTTCGTAGTTTTTAGTTTTCGGATTTGAAAGATCGTCGGTTACAGTGGCCTGCTTACTGAGCAGAAAAATGCCGTCCCAGGTCCTTACATATCAAAGAGATTTATGGTAAAATCGCTTGTGTATCGTGTATTTTGCGAAACTCGTTGTTGTCGTTGGTTCCGGGTTTGAATGGATACAAAAATTTGAGCAACGGTATTATGTGATATGAGGGGCTCGGTGGCCTTAGAGCAACCGTTTTTGCTTACTGAGCAGAACATCATGAGTCTAATCTCAGGCTCTTCCACATTCAAGATTCGTCAATCGTTTTATTTGTTAATATGACTACATGGTAATAACAGCAACTCGGTGATTAAAAAGGTGCTCGTCTGCCTAGTGGCAAACGTTTTTGCTTACTGAGCAGAAAACCGTGGGTTTAGTCCCAAGCTCCTTCGCGTTATATGATCGTTAGGACATCAATTCAGCTTATCGTTTACCAAAACGAACCCTGCTGCAAACCCAACCCTCTTATCCAACATCCCAGTGATTCCTCGTGGAAGTGCAGAGGTGTTCTCGGCTTCCATCAAAGCGAGTGTCATGTCAACACAATCCTTCCCACTCCTTTCTTGACCTGTGTTCGGGCGCGGCCGGCGCTGCTATTGCCTAATTTAAGATCACCAGTTTTTACACATTGAGGATGATCGCTAGTCCCAAGCATCGTCTATTGGTTCTCTGTGTAATTACAGCTGATCTGGCAATAACAGAGTAGCAACCGTGGGCGGTCAATCAAGCTCAAGCTCAAGCTTGCAACGTTGTGCAACAAGAGGTAAAAAGTATTGACTTGTTAGTGTAAAAATAACTAAGGGTGACAGTGATGACACATTAAATGAGGCACAACTAACAGGTGTGGATAGTCGTTAGCTTCGGGGTCTTGTTAGTGAGTGATGTTACTTCGGGGTCTTGTGTAGTGAGCGCTGCCGGTCCCCCCGACCTCAGAGGCAGGCAGTTGTTGTTAGTTCATGCGACACTGTTGCTGCAACCAGGTCGAAGGTGTGACCCACCAAGAATCTTAAAAGGATTAAAAACATATTTCACAATATTTGTACATGAATTACATATTATTCTTGCTGAACCACCGTCAAACCCACTATCCAGAGGCAGCGAAGTTATGCAAAACATTAAAAATAAATAATAAATTGTAATCGATTATTGCGATTAATTAGGGTCGATAAGAACGAAAAAGTAATCGATTAATCAATAATCGATTTAAAGCTAAGCAACGACATGCCTATTCATTCCACCCAACAGAAGAAGTTCGCATCTCGCTGCTACTCCGATTATTTGTTTCTTTTCTATCCAAACGTTCCTCTCCCTGAGCATTTTCTTTGGTACCTAACTCTAAATTTAAAACTGATGGACTTTCTTTACCTATTCCACCTCCCCCAAGCAATGCCACGGTGTAAATCTTGTAATTTTTATTTGTTTAAATTGAGATAAATAAAATAAGACTTTTTCCGCTACGTTTCTAGACGTGACTTAGACTGTATCCTCATTATTTTTTTCACTTTACAGAAATAACAACCCTTTAACCGAAATTTTAACAAACGAAAAATGCTCTCGAAGGATGACAAATGGGGGACCGGAGTAACTTCAAATGGGCAGGGGGAAAACATTCGATTCACCAACAACACGAAGGCAATCGACGACACACGGGAGGAAAAACTCTTTGCATTCGTTTTCTTCACTTCTCTTGTTGCTGTACGATTTCTAATCCTAAAAACGTGCAATGCAAACTAGCTGCTGACTCCTGTCTCAATTTGCTATTTAACAAAGATTTCGAAGAAAACGACGACTCAAACGACGACCACAAGCCCCAAGACTAGTTGTTGTGTAAGCTGTTCAGCTTGTCACACGAGGGCGTTTTGATGTGCTGTGCTCTGTAGTACAGATCGCGATCACCAAAGTTGCGTGCCTTCATTAGCATGGTTTCCTCTGTGATGTACGGCAATTGAAAAAAGGGGAAAAAAAACGAAATGGAATAGGACAAAACAATTTAGTAACATTGCAACGAGGTTTGCAGCAGCATGACCAGCAGCTTCCCAATAGTACCGCAGATAAAGTATACAAAGTTCACGAAAAGCTTGAAACACTTACTATAGTTTCGTTCTCGATAGCACGAATGTTTCAAATTGTTTAGGTACTCTTCCTCAACGGATGCCTCCAGCCGTCCGACCGATCCCTGGTACTCCGAGTGGAAGTTCTCTTTCACGTAGTAAGGAATCTTTAGCTGATTGGTCTTGCGAGCGACGGAGTATTTCCTTGAAAACAAAAGTGGGGGAAAATTAGACGATAAAGTGAAGGCAAACCGAGAACACTCACTGGCTAGGAGTCAAACTGTAGATAGGGTCCGAAATGAAGAACGAGGACATCATCGAGAGAGCAATCAGGAGTATTATCGGCAACAGATTAATGAACGCTGCATAACCTGACTGAGGCTAGTAGCAAACAATAAAAAAAATCAATAAATTCCGCTATCTTGATGCCCATTTTTCAAGTCAACTTTACCTCCCTATTCTGCTGGTGGTGATGTTCGGCGCGATGAAACCGTCGCTGTCGCATGTAGACATGCTGAGTGGGAATATTTCCTCCGAAGAACATGTTGAACAGCTCCTCGGCCGTAAACTCCGTCTCGAAGCCTCGCGAGTAAGCGTATTCATATTGGGCACGGCTTCTACGAGCCGTTGTCTGATGTTGCTCATCTGCACCGTAAAGATCGTACGATTTTCGTTTCTCGGCATCGGTCAATATGGCCACAGCGTTGCCGATTGCCTTGAAAGCTTCCGCCGATCCTGGTGCTTTGTTTTTATCCGGATGCAACTGCAGGGCCAGCTTTTTGTAAGCCTTCTTGATGTCCGTATCGGGAGATTCTTTCGTAATTCCCAGCACTTCGTAGTAATCTTTGCATCTACAAAATCGAAACCCAATCAATATTCCAACACAAAACAACAGAACAGCCTCGACCTACTTCTTGATCCGTTTCACCGCTTCCAACTGTTCCGGAGTGTAGTCCGCTTCGGAACCCGAGTCTGCCTTTGCCGTACTCGATTCAGCAGCCGGTCGTTGCCGCAGGCCATCGTCCGACGCATTCCCGGACGAGGCACGCTTAGTATAAGCTCCGCTTCTAATCTTCTCCAAAAGCTCTACACAGACAATGAATATTGATTACTATTACGCATCAACGTAATAGAACGATCTCTTTATCAACCCCCGTTCGCTTACCTTCGGCCTGTTTCGTTGGATGTAGACCAAGCGATTTGGTGAGTAGCTTTTCCGCCTTTTCGATCTTACCCTCGGACAGGTAGGACACTGCCCTCACCACGCACTGGACGGCCGCTTCACTGTTCATCGTTGTTGCGGTGCGATGGGTTTATTTTTATCCTTTGCTCTCACGCGTTCCTGGCCAAGCAAGATAAGGGGGAGCAGGTGAAATTAATCATGAAAATCGAAGAAAATTTTCCCAGGCCGTCTTTCTTACCCGTTTGAAATACCAATTATTCTGCCTGGTTCTCGGGGACTCAGCAGATTCACTAGCTTTTCGATGGTCAAACTAGACGGGAACAAGGAAAAACTCCGACTTATTCCATTATTTTACGGACGATAAAAATATTTTTCACTTTTCTAGAACGGGAGCAAAGGAATAAAAACCAAGGGGGGGAGGTGGCTGTCAAATACGAACAATCGTCGCCTACCTCGCATAACTGGTTCCAAACGTAAACAAGCCATAAGAAACCTACACAGCAAAAAAAAATGTAATATCGATCAACGTAATTCAAGCTGATGTATGAAATAATGATGTAATAGCAAAACGCAGATACAATATTACATCAATGGATGTAATTTTGTTCGCAAAATCGATGTACATCGTACAATGTGATATTACACAACCGATGGATTGACCTGGTTGCAGCAGTTTCGATGTAATATTCAACAACTTTTTTTGCTGTGTACAGCGTTTGTTTACGTTTGGAACCAGTTTCATACAAGATGATCAGTAGGCTGATTTGACAGCACATCCCCCCCCCAGATAAAAACACACGTCAAATCACCCAGCTAAACGTCATCGACGAACGAAACGTCACTCGAGTCGACTGCCCACTGAGCTTGAAATTGTACGTTTCGACGGAAAAGTAACGTGTGTAACACTGAGTTGTTATTGCATACACGGCGAAAAATGAGTGAGTCGTCACCCCTCGAAAATCCACTAACCCCGTACAGACTATGGCTTATACATGCTTATACCAACAATCAATACGAAACTAACGATTTTAAATTGGCTCACCACTTTAGTAGCCCATTGGTCCCAAACAAACGATTAACGTACCCTATTCTAGTTGAAATTCTATTACTACACTATGTTTGTTTTGATTCGCTATGAAAGTTTGACAGATAACATCAGGGGTGTGTGGATTCATGCAGAACATGCAGGGGTGAGTGAAATAGCTTGGGACTGCTTGGGACCGTTGTTCTGGTACTGAGTGAGCCAAAAATAATAATGATTTTCTTCGGGACCCAGTGGTCTTAGAGTTACCTCTATGGTTGTACCAACAATCAATACGAAACTAACGATTTTAAATTGGCTCACTACTTGACTAGCCTATTGGTCCCAAGCAAACGATTAAAGTACCCCATTCTAGTCGAAATTCTAGTTCTACGCAATGTTTGTTTTGATTCGCTATGAAAGTTTGACAGATAAAATGAGGGGTTATTGGTTTTTCCTCTGTTTCAAGGGGTGAATCGATTAGCTTGGGACCGAAGAGAGTACCAGAGCTGAGCCAAAAAGTTGAGCACGTTATTTCGGGACCTTCTAGTCTTAGAGTTAGCTCTATGGTTGTACTGCTTTAAGCTAGTACCACAAATTGTACGTTAAAGATACTAGCAACAATCAATACGAAACTAATGATTTTAAATTGGCTCACCACTTTAGTAGCCTATTGGTCCCAAGCAAACGATTAACGTACCCTATTCTATTCGAAATTCTAGTACTACGCAATGTTTGTTTTGATTCGCTATGAAAGTTTGACAGATAAAATGAGGGGTTATTGGTTTTTCCTATGTTTCGAGGGGTGAATCGATTAGCTTGGGACCGAAGAGAGTACCAGAGCTGTGCCAAAAAGTTGAACACGTTTCTGCGGGACCTTCTAGTCTTAGAGTTACCTCTATGATACTAGACTTAAAGAAGTACAACCACAAACGAAGTGACAGACGGAGCGGCTCGAAAACTTTGGTGACTAACCTGCTATTGCATTTTTTCAGTGTACCACATGGCAACACCACTACTACTGGATTGTACCAACAATCAATACGAAACTAACAATTTTAAATTGGCTCACTACTTGACTAGCCTATTGGTCCCAAGCAAATGGTTAACGTATCCCATTCTAGTCGAAATTCTAGTACTAAGCAATGTTTGTTTTGATTCGCTATGAAACTTTGACAGATAAAATGAGGGGTGATTGGTTTTTCCTATGTTTCGAGGGGTGAATCGATTAGCTTAGGACCGAAGAGAGTACCAGAGCTGAGCTAAAAAGTTGAGCACGTTATTTCGGGACCTTCTAGTCTTAGAGTTACCTCTATGATTGTACCACATGGCAACACTACTACTAGATTGAACTAGCATTTTCACCAAATGTACTAGAATGTTTTGGTTCTATCTCTTTCACTCTACTCAAAACCGGAATGCATAAAAAATGACAAAATGATACGCACTCTTTGCACACTGTCAAAGAATCATTGTACACGAAAAATCAACTTTGTTCAAATCAAAACAAAAAAACTAACCCATCTGGTGGATAATGGCACAAGCTTCCAAGAAAATTCTATTACAGTGAACCACATTATTTAAATGGATTTCTTCGCCAGTTAGTCGTCTGTCACTTCGTTTGTGGTACAACGGTACTAATTTGTATGCCTGTCTGTGGTATTATATCAACCGGTGGAAACTGTACACTAATAAAATTCTAAACTTAAAGTTTATTTGGCTGGTACATATACTTTTTATAAGATATGCAAAACATTATTTTTATGTGCGTAAATATAAACATCATTATAAACCCCTTAGCTACTATAAGCTAACCTATAACACGTATATGCGTGACAAATTTTATTTATGTGTGTGCTGCCATAAAAATTATGGTTCGCATCTTATAGTTGAAGATTATGTGTATACACATATAATTTTGATGTTTGAGCTATTCAGTTCAGTGCACACAAGCAATGGCGTCAGCAAATAAATTCACTGAAATTGTGCTATATCTGCTCGATCTTCCAGCAGAACTTCTGAACATTTTCAAAGGTAAATAATTATTTATTTTTAACTGCTTACCATCAAACTATTATTTTTGATTGTTTTCAGCGAAAAAGTTCACGGAAGACACGTTAATCAACATTTCCCGCGACGAGCTTGGAGAATCTTTACAATCGGAGGAAACAGAGTGGAATATAAACGAAATCTTCCGTCGCCTAACTGAATGGCGCAAGGCAAACGTGAGTAGGCGCAATAATATTTAATTTGTGCGAAATAACATTTTTTGAATTTTACGCAGGGATGCGGCCTTTTCACCTTTGACGAGGTGTACGTCCAGGAGGAGTACACGCAGGAGGACGACGCGCAGGAGGACGACGCGCAGGAGGACGACGCGCAGGAGGACGACGCGCAGGAGGACGACGCGCAGGAGGACGACGCGCAGGAGGACGACGCGCAGGAGGACGACGCGCAGGAGGACGACGCGCAGGAGGACGACGCGCAGGAGGACGACGCGCAGGAGGACGACGCGCAGGAGGACGACGCGCAGGAGGACGACGCGCAGGAGGACGACGCGCAGGAGGACGACGCGCAGGAGGACGACGCGCAGGAGGACGACGCGCAGGAGGAGGACGTGCAGGAGGAAGACGGACAGGAGGATGACGCGCAGGAGGAGAACACGCCTCCACGCGGAAATAATCAACCCACGGACGTCAGTGACGGCATAAAACCACTATTCAAGAACCCACCAGAGCCTGTAGATGCTTCCGACAAAATTGCTCCGAGTGTCCAAATCAAGGTAGTCAAGAGATTTTGTGTAAAAACTCTTGTTGATTTGCTGAACACAACAATAACAGGGAAGGAAATTTTGAAGCGAGGCCAGCGAGGTCTTTTATCAAAAGAAAGTCAGCGGGAGCTGGTTGGAGTTATCGCCGATTATCACATTAGCCTGGGAACTTCCTTGAAAGAGGAGAGTCTTCGTGACTACGGTGAAGCAATTGTTGCTCAATTCAGACACGAGACATTGGTATGCACTACATTGCACAATTATACAAACATTAAAATTTTAACCTCAATCTTTTGATTTTCAGGATACGTATTTTGTAGCAAGAAGTGGAAAGAGAAAGAACCATGGCGGAAAATTATTCAATAGAATTACAAACTTAAAACAAAAATTGATCAAACGCGCGTTTAAGGAAGAAGAACATTTGCATGGGAAAAAATCAAAGGTTGACCCATTCGTTCCTAAAGATCCGGTGGCAGAAGAAGCGATACTGTGGCTAGAACAGAATTCTTGTCCGTGGAGCACAGTTCTGGACAAGTGGATTGTGTCTTTTGATATCAGGAAACCCCACTTATTGAAATCAAAAATCGTCGAAGAAGTTCTCACAAGACATCGCCATTATTCTGGCAAGCATGGATACCAGATCGTAACCCTAATAAAAAATAACCATAAACGAACGATAACCCAAATCATTGAACTATTCCACAAATGGTTTGGATGATACCCAGAACACGTCGTTAAGCAAATTAACCATACAATTGTTATTAGGGAAGTAAAGCAAAATTCCTTTTATTCATATTTAAAAAACATTTTAAAAAATATAGTAGAGAAGTAGAGCACATGATTGTGCGAATAGTGCGCAGTACTTTCAACGTTAGATTATCACGCATAAAATAGAAAAAAAAAAAATTCAGTCGTAAGTTTTTCTAAATATTAAGTGGATTAGTATTGTAGGTAGGGGGAGAAGGGGCATAGTGAACAGGTAGGGCAAAGTGAGCATCCCGCAGTTTGGCTCTGGATCTCCAGCTGCATGAAACAAATCAACTGGTAGTAGGTTCAATATCATTATGATATTGATCCTACCACGAACCAATTTGTCCCGAACGGCCGGAAGTCCAAGCTGATGCACGGGATGCTCACTATGCCGCACCTGTTCACTATGCCCCTCTTACCCCTAATATAAAAAATATACATGTCAAGCTCTCATGTTTCCCTGATTCAAGAGGAATATGGATGATGAAACGATGAATGGTTCATAGATCGTTTTGAAAGATCACGCCAGAATTGATTCGGTTGAGATATTTTCCTCGTGATTTGACAGTAACTGTTGATCAAAGTACTGGCAATATTAAAGTACACACAATGAATTTGTAGTATCTCCATATTTTTTTAAAATGCTGATAGTTCTCAGTCGTGAATGGATTTTAGTAAATTTAGCGAGATCTGAAAGAATAGTGTTTTGACTAAAAGCTATAAAAAATTTAGTAAGTTTGGTTCATCGTTTTTTTAAGAAAAAAGGTTGAAAAAATGGTAGTCAAATTAGAAGCGTTTTAATTGCTAAATCTTCATACAGACTTGACCAATCAAGGCACAATTTTCACTGATAAACCCCGAATGTTTAAAGGTCGATTCAACCTATCAAACCATTTATACAGGCCTTTGCAATCAATTTATTTTGACCTACAGGAATCTCTTGAATACTACGGTGGGTGATACGAATCACCCACCCCGAATTCTCTACAACCTTTTAACTATTCAAGATAATTGTATGTGTACACTCGGCCTGAACGAAATTCTGAAGAAAAATCAGCTTAAATAGTTGAAAGGCAGCAGATAAACCCAGAGAACTTTGAGATTTGGTCGTAATTGCTTTTGTAAACAAACACGTCAATCGCCGATTGCTCGCGAATAAAACCTCAATATCGCAAACAAACTATACCAAATGATAGAAGAATCATTCATCTACCTGTTTGTGTTGCTAATTTTCGAGATTGAACTTTAATTAGCGAGAAATCGATGATTGACCTGTTTGTTTACAAAAGCAATTACGCCCTAATCTCAAAGTTCTCCGGAAACCTGATGGGAAGACTTTTACCCACCGTACTTAGATCACTAAATTGCAACATAATTTTGCGCACTCCACGGCTCATCCAGCTTCCAATTATTCCAAAATTCAAAAACTACGATCTTGTATTCATCCACCTCCTCCTTTGTTGAGATACTAGGGGGAGGAGGGCATAGTGAGCATCCCACAGTTTGGCCCTGGATATCTAGCTGCATGAAACAAATCAACTGGTAGTAGGTTCAATATCATTGATATTGATCCTACTACCAATAAATTTGTACCGAACGGCTGGAAGTCCAAGCTGGTGCACGGGATGCTCACTACGCCCCACCTGTTCACTATGCCCCTCTTACCCCTATAGGTAATTAAAAAAAAAAACTCCCTGCTATGTGGATGGTGACTCTTCGGTTTATGAACTTGGTTTGTCGTAAATCCATCAGCTTTCAAAGCAAATCAAGTGTAGCGGTCCCCGTGGAGAATATGTCCCTTTAATATCAGCCGTTCCGAGAATCCTCTGATGCTATCATATTTAATATTCTAGGACATTCGTGTGAAGTGGTTGATTGCTGTGGTAGAAAATTGAAGGTCAGCGATCAAACATTCCAATGTAGTACGATAAATACTTACCTTCATACCGGTGATTCAGATGAAGTCTTCTTCCTGATTTTATTCAAGGAGGACCTAGTGACTGTAAGTTAATACTGATCACTCTTCAGCAATGGGTCATCAGAATCTTTGTTATGTACTAACTTATGCTCTATTATTATCCTTCAGCTGTGTAATCCTTGGTGTAATCTGTCTTTATCCAAACGTTTTGTAGCATGTTTTTATTTACTGTTTTCGAAATGTTAAGGCTGTGTTCCATTTCTAGAGTAACATTTGAAATGGGCCTATGTCCAAAACGTAATCAAACCAGAAAATGAATTTTAAATTTTTCCGGCAGTATTCAATTCCTATTTAAGAAAATTGAAATATTTTAGGCATTCACAATAACAATAGTAACAGTATCTCAGTATACAACATCCAAAATATGCGAAAAGCTTTCAAAAATATATGAAAATCAATAACATTTCGACAGTGAGCATGCATAAGGGCGTATAAGCGATGATCGATTCTCTTCATCGATTTTCTCTTTGCATTGCTACAGCTAAGTGAAACAATTTTGTAGAATTTGTTCAATGTAGAGTTGTAACAGGTTGCATTGACTATCAAAAGCAACAGCAAACGCACCGACAAATGTTAAATCTAGCGAGTTATTAACAAAAGAGAAAATCGATGAAGAGAATCGATCATCGCGTATACGCCCTTATGAATGCTCACTGTCGATTTTAATTTCATAAATTAATAAGCCTTTTTGTGAATCTTTCAATGGATAGGCCCTTTTTGTTAAGCCATTCCCGACCAACCATTCGTGAAACTTCTTCAAAATTCTTTATACAGAAATAAAGATTTATGTCGGCAATTCTTTACTTTAAATTTTCTATGATTTCGATGTACACATTTAAAAATCTTTATTGATCGATACTTACATTATAAATTATTTCTTCATCGGTCATATTATAGTAATCTATAAAGGTGCCATACTAAGTTTCTTTTAATTTCGATGTGTCACATAGACTTTAGTATTCTTTGCAAATATTCATCAATAAATATTTAAATACTGATATCATCGAAACTTTGAACTTTGACAAAGAACAACAAAGATTGCAATCGATGCACATTTATAATCTCCTTGTTATCGATTTGCATTGCTTTTTAAAGAGAGTTCGAGACACACCAGGTGACAGTTGGCAATGTTAATATTATTTATCGACATATGCGGCATTTCATCGGAAGAAGCAATCTGCCGGTAAATGAACGAGAAGACCGATGGCCGCGACGCAGCAAATGTTTACAATTGTAGTTCTTCAAGTTTACGTCTATATATTTAATAACCCGTTATAGCATGCGTGGTGGGATTCTCGGCATTTGGAACCCAATGAGGAAAATTGATACCTTTCTGACCTCTATTACATTTTTGAGACTATTACATGGCTGACTGGTTGATGGTTATGACAAATAAATTTATATAAATATTGAATTCACGTACAGAAATTTCAATACACCACATACTAGAGTGTGTTTGCCTGTCGTTGATAAGCTCATCAACAGCAGCTGTGGACCCGAGGATTAGCAACCAACAACGAAATCAGTACACCCCAGATGGCATGGGATCGAAACTAGAAATTATGCAGATAAAAAATCACAAATAAAATCAGCAGTTGTGTGTGTGTATCGATATTTTGATTTTACAACAGAAATCGATATTTTGATCTGGCAACACAATCGATATTTTAACATTGGTAACGATTGGTAGCAATATTTTGAGAAAGATCTTTATAAACGATTCACGGTTATACTTTTAGCATATTTACAATTATTCATGAAATGGTGACGATCGCTATCGATGTTTCTTATGAATGGCTTTGAAGATCGATGTATAGAAAATTAAAGAAAACTAACGAAATGGTTGGTCGGGTTGTGTTTGTCATCATATATGGTATGCCCTTTGCTAAGCCTTTTCGCAACGTCGAATAAATTCAAAACAAATCAAGCTGAACATTGCATTAGGTCCTAAGTAACATTGATCGATTTTCTTCGTCGACTTTCTCTTTAGTTAATAACATGAGCACATAACCGTTTCTTGTTGTGTTTGTCGTATTAGATGCTAGATGAAAGCTTTTTTTATCGATATGTGTGCTGAAAATACCTGGGAATGTCTTAAGATGTCCGTGGGGATACAATGAGAAAGTCGACGAAGAGAATCTGTCAATGTTACTTAGGACCTAATGCAGTGTTCAGCTTGAAATCATCGGCACTGCCTCAAGCAGTACATGGTAACCGCAAAATACCCAATAATGACTACAAAGTAAGCATTTTCGAGGGAAACTGGGACTACCCATTAAATGAGTAAAATTTTGCCCTGAATAGTGTATTATACATTATTTACTAAATTTTCTTTCTTTCTTCTGCATGATATTTTTAAATAAATAAGTTAATCCATTAAAAGTAAAAAAACGAACACAAAACAAAAAAAAAATATTTAAAAATATGTAATGACAAGGTTGTTGCCCCTATCCGATGATGTTGTTGGTTTGCGTGGGCGTACTTTGGTTCACGTGTAAAGGGCCTTAGAAAGTTTGTTTACAAATGCTTTTGTGCCGTTATCAAATGTTATGCCTGATGTAATCTAAAAATAATCGCTGTGACATTGTCGTCACTTTGCTTATGCTTAGCACTCTAATCTGTTTAAAAAACACACTGGTGCAGGTCAACAAAAAAAATCCTAAACGCATGATTTGCAGAAAAGTGAAAGACCATAAATCACTCATATAGGGGAAATGGATGTAATGTCAGCCTAAATACCCCTAACTTGGGCCCATACATAAATTCAGCAATCGACTAAATTTTCAATATTGGTCGCTATTGATTATATACATTAGTACCGTCACAATGACGCGTTCATCTTGATAACATTGATAAATAGCAGAGTTTTAGCAATGGGCCCAATCTTAGATCCATAGGCCAACATTAAAGCCATTTCCCCTACCATATGTCAGTAACTTAATGATTGTATTTTATCCTCTAAACAGATAGACATTGATTTCAAATTATTGAAATTGGGAAACGACAAAGGCATCAACAAATGGGATCAATTTCTACCGAAGATCATCGAGTACCTTGATAAACCTTACAAAGACGAACTATCAATCAATCTTCTTGGATTTATAAAAACACCTGGAGCTGATAAAAGTACGTAATTCGTTAATATTCGTACGTAATTATAGCATAAATAAATACATATTTTTTTATATTTTAGATTCAATTATCTCAGCTGTTTTGATCCTGCTGAATAACGTCCTGAAACCCACTAAAGTGACTAAAACATTCAAGCCATCCATTTTGTCAGCTCAGGAAGATATTATTTTTTTTGCGGAAACGAATGGTCAAGCGGTACAAAAAATCAACGACTTTAATTCATCTTACGAGTCATTAGGTTTCTACACCATCCCAAAGCTGGTATTCAGAGGCAAAGACATAACATCATTAAGTGGCGGATACGAAGTGCATTATAAATCGATAGTGTATAAGCTAGAAACAGCAGAAAGGGCGATTGATGTTCTGGTGAAACTCAGCACGATTTTCGGATTGGAGTATTCCAGAATTTGTCGACTGGTATGGAACTTTATTTGTTCTTATGTATATGATTTGGTAGTACCAGAGCAATATGAATCAATCAACAACCTCAAACGATTCTTACCAAAAATACAATAATATGTTCACCTGCATGATCGAAGGTTGCATAGTGAATGCTATGTCTGTTTACCCGTATTTTGATCATCTCACCAATATCCACAAGGTCCCAAGGAACTATCGATATAAATGCACCTTTCAACGATGTTGTCAAATACTTTCCAATTGGTATGTATTCAAAAGACATGCATTAGGACATTTTGCTCATCATTCGCAAACTTCTTGTGAGAAATTATCAACTCCTTTTGATGTTGATGGACGCAGGACAGAACAAGTTTTCGTTGGTACAGAGACTACAGATAATTTAAATTCTTGTTTACAAGCTGAAGCACAGGAGGATAACACACCCATTGCATCATATTCCGCAAACATCAGAGATATAGAGCAAGCAGCTTTAGAGTTCACATTAGAGCTACACAGTGAAACGAATTTGACACGAAATGATATTCAACATGTACAGAAGAAAATTAAAAAGCTGAATTGCACGATTGCTGAAAAGATCGAAGGATTATTACCATCTAAAACCAGTGACCCTCAAATTGATTATAAACTAAATAAGTACATTCAAAAGCTGCAGAATCCATTTGATTTTATTGAAACCGATTACAAATTTTTTAAATATTTGGAAGAACTGAATATTTTTCGTTTACCGTTATCAATTAGAGTAGAAGGAGAAAACACAGTAGCAGGCATAGAAATTGATGAGGCAATTGATGAGAAGAAAGATAATCTTGTAATCATGGATATTCAATTTCAGCTTAAGTCATATTTTAGTACCGGAGATATTCTCAAGTTAACCATAGAAAACACTAAACAGCTCGAAAAGTCCAGTGTAATAAGTAGCATTGTTAACGGCCAGCTATGGACAAATGTAAAACAACAGTATCCCAATGATATATTATTGCCATTATCGTACTATTCTGATGACTTTGAAATCAACGACCCTTTGAGTGCGCATAATAAGAAACATGTTGTTTGTGGGTCATATTACAGTTGTCCAACTATTCCTGAGCAATACAGTTCTAAACTCAACAATATTTTTGTAGCTTGTATGATGAAAAAAGTTGACATTAATGAAATAGGTTTAAACATGTTACTTAAGAATATTATTCAACGTTTCAGGGAGAAAGAGGAACGAGGAATTACGTTCGAAATCGATGGAAAGCAGATAAAAGTAAGGTTTATCCTTGTGCTACTGCAGGGAGACAACTTAGGTCTACATCAAATGCTAAATTTTCTATCATTCAATGCTATTGTCGCTTTTGTCGAAGATCACGCGCAGAATGTCGGGTTGATGTAGAAGAGTACGATACGTTTCGTAGAACCATACACAATTATGAAGAAGATGTAAATCTGCAAAGACCTTCCGAAACAGGAATTAAGGGAGATACGGCTTTTAATCAACTGCCCTCTTTTCATACTGTGATGAACGTCAGTGTAGACCCAATGCATGATTTTTACAGTAATGGGGTCTGTTCTTTTGGGCTAACTGCTGTAATGAACTATTGTATTTATCAAAAACGATTTGTCTCATTAGGCAAGTTCAATGCACAGAAAAGCGTCTTCAGTAAAACCACGTTAGATTCGTCACTTAAAAGGATGGGAGATATAACCGAAACTTTTTTGTCAAAACAAAAATGCAAGAGTGTAGTCATCAGAGCTACTGCTAGTGAAATGAAGGCTTTTATACACTATTTTCCATTAATAATGGGTCAATTCGTTCCCAAGAACGATGAGATCTGGGACTATTGCAAAAATTTGGTTAAATTATCAGATAAAATTTTATCACCTAGCTTTACAGAAAACGACATACAAGAATTGCAAGACCTCTGTAAAATGCACCATATACAATACCAAAAATTGTTCAACGAATCTCTAAAGCCAAAACAACACTTTGTCTGCCACTATGGCTCAGTAATTAGAAGTAGTGGTAGTGTCAGCAGAATGATGAATTTTCGTTACGAGGCCAAGCATAAGGGGTTTAAAGAATATGCGCGAATGGTGACATCTCGTCAAAATATTTGTTTTACTCTGTGTGTTAAAGCAGCACTTCAATTTAGTAACGATTTATACAAGCAATCGTTTTTCAATAATCCATTTGACGTCAAATTATCTCCATGCAACTTTGAATCTAAAGAATATTTTACTTTCATATTTCCACCATATCCAGTTAAGCTAGATGAAGTTCAATGTACTGAAAATATTAAATTTAAAGGAACTGAGTTCAAGGTTGGATCGTACGTTACAGTTACCGAGGTACAAAAAATTTTATTATTGGAAATAGTTGATATATTAATAACAAAACAAAATAATCCCTCAGTTGTCAGTTGTGGAAGATAGGAGATTATAATCATCATTTTATAGCATACGAAATAATTGATAAAACAAACACCTATAACATTTTCAATATTGTTGATGTTGATGGACCTCCATTGAATGTTCATAATGTCGTTAACAAAATCCTGTTTCGTAAGAAAAGGGACTTCCTTTCAATGAATCTGTAAGTATCGAGATAATTGATTATTATTTGATGTAATAAATTGTTGTAATGAATAAACAATTAGATTAAATTTGTGCTATAATTAATCTCATATGTATCACATGTCGACTTGGTCTAGCGTATCGTATCTTCCCAACAAACAATTCAAAGTCACAAATAAGCATAAACATTGAATAAATGCTGTATAACAGTGTACAATGCTGAATAAAACAGGATGTCGAATTATGTGCTGAAAAAAGATCATTGAGATCGGTAGATGCGCCTTTATTCCGCCGTTTGCTCTGATATGATTAATTTCCTTATTAAAAGCTTTATAAACGTTGACTGTCTTCCTTATTCAGAACCAAAAGTTTGATCTAATAACAAACTGAATAAGTGTAATTTGCACATACATTGTCGCTTTAATTCGACTGTTTTCAATTGATTGAATAAAATGCTTTATTAAACGTCTAATAAATGTTTTCTAGCTCCATTATTAGATTTCATTGCATTGCTTTACAATATTGCTGTATAAAGGTGAATACACTCAGCAAAATAGCTCTTATACCACCCAACAAACAATTCAGAGTCACAAATAAGCATATATATATTGAATAAATGCTGTATAACAGTGTACAAAGCTGAATAAAAAGAGTTGACGAATTATGTGCTGAAAAAGCTCATTGAGATCCATAGATACACATTTATTCAACTGTTTGCTCTGATCTGATTAATTTACTTATTAAAAGCTGTAAAAGTGTTAAATGTCTTCCCAATTCAACGCCAGAAATTTGATCTAATAACAAACTGAATAAATGTAATTTGTACATACATTGACACTTTAATTCGACTGTTTTCAATTGATTTAATAACATGCTTTATTAGACGTCTTATAAATGTTCTCCAGCTCCTTTATTAGATTTCATTGCATTACTTTACAATATTGCTGAATAAAGGTGAATACAGTCAGCATAATAGCTATTATTACCACTATGCGTCCATGTTGTAATCACATGATTTGTAAATGCTTTACAAACGACGTATTAGATTCATTATTCGACAACACTGATTCAATATAACAACAAGGCGAAAACAGTAGAGTAGTGGTTACCGTTTCCGCTTTCCAATTAGAAGGTCGTGAGTTGAATCCCAAGCTTAACCCTTTTTTTTATTTGTGTTCTACATCTAATTAATTTAAATAGTAATCATCGATCACATGACTCACGATAATGAATGCATTTATCTAGTTCAAAAAATAACCTTCCTTGGGATTGGAGTGGTGAAGAGGTAACATTGGTCTCATGTTAAACAACGATGAATGAATTAATCATTCCCACAGGGCCTTGAAGGAGCTAGAGTTGCGATCGGGAGTGCTGATAGGTATTCACTTTCATGCAAGCTTTTATTGATTATTGAGTTGCCCATATGATGAATTCTAGGATAGCTCAGATGACAAGGCAAGCGGCTGGTGATCGGAAGGTACATGGTTCGAATCCCATACAACGACATGTATAAGTATTTATAAATTTTCTAATATCTGTGTGGTGCGAGCAACGTCAGAAATAATGGATACAATTACACTTAAGAAACACAACCTTCCTTCCCTGTCTGTCCCCGCCCCTCTTATTTTCGGGTTAATTTTCCCACAGTTGAATAATCGTTTAATAAATGTATAATAATGTCTAATTAAACGTTACTTCACATGAGAATCAAGCATATACAGAGCATCACTGTTTAAAAAGGAAGCAGTGATGCCTAATAAACGCTGAATAATCAAAAAAATTATCGTATGAACTCTGTTACAACTCATATAAGTCGAATAAAAGCTTCTCGACATACCTTATACAATACCAAAGTAGTTCAATGTTGTGGTTGAATAAATTCTCCAGATTTGTGTTAACAAAGCCGGAACAGAAGTTGTTATTAAAAATAGTACAAGTACTATTCAGCATGCAGTTGAATAAAATGGCTATGAAGTCGTTTCTTCAATAGACGATTGTTTGTTGGGTTATGTTATTCTATGTTCAAATAATAATAATAATAATGTAGCACGTTATTAAAAGTATCTTAATGTTAATGAGTTTCTAGATATGTAAACATAGAATACCATAAGATAAGTTAATGTGGGGCAAGATGACCATATGGGGCAAGCCGGATATCGTCTCTAAACCATAGAGTTAATTTGGTAGAAATATGTGTAATGCTGTATGAGAACTTACTAGCGAAGTGATTTATATACATTTCTATCAAATTAACTATAAAACGTTGTGGTTTAGAGATTATGTCCGTCTTGCCCTATATTCCTCTACGCTTCGCCAATGCCCTTGCCTAAACCGAGGCCTGAAACCCTGGAAATAATATTTTTAGCACATATACAGTATATGTACTTGACACGTAAACATTATTGTTTGAACCATGACTTTCATTTGAATTAGACACATAATCATTATGTTCTACCGAGACATAAATGTTATAAATCTCACACCCAAATTTTATTTGCAAAACAAATGAAATTCATTTCTTTTGGAACATTGATTTTATTTGTGTGATTGACTTAGACACATAATCTTCATGTTCTACCGAGAAATAAATATTATAAATCTCACACATAAATTTTATTTGCAAAACATATGAAATTCATTTCTTTTAGAACATTCATTTTATTTGTGGGAAACTAAATATTTTTTATGTTCCCCAAACATATTGTTTATT